TTTATATTTCTGGCTGAAAAATGTGTACCATTATGTTACTTTGTGCTAGTAGCTCAGTTAATTTTGTTTTAATTGTGAAAGGAAAGAGATTTTATTTGTATATATGAATTTAAACCCGGAGATTTAAATCTAATTTAAGCTTTAAAATTCATGCAAAAGTTTCCAAAATGAATTTAAAAATTTTTCTTTCTGAATAAAAAAGGGGGTTGGTCATTATAGGCTGACAAAAGAAGAAAAGAAAGCGTTGATTATACCTGTAATAACCAAGAAGTGACAGTTTGACTTGAGAAATAAAATGCAGTCTCCTTGCTGCCTAGAAACTGGAATTTGGGATTTGTAACGGTGAAGACAGGTGCAGCTCCCGAAAAGTACAGCAAAGGCAAAGCACTAAAGTACAGCTTCCAAATCTGTCGATCACTCTCGACTTGATCTCTGAACTCAAGACACTATTACTGAACTCGACATACACCTACTCTGCATACAGGCAGGGTGTACATATAGCTTTATTCTATCTTCAAGAATGTTTCTGAGCAAAACTGCCAAGAATGTGTTCTAAAATGTTCTCGCTCTTCCTGCAATACTGGAACACTCTGCTTAAGCTGTACATCCACTTCTCCCATCTCTGCATCACATGATGTTCAGAATGTTCAAGACCTTGCTAAATGCAACTTCATAACTTCACTATCGGTTTCTACTGACTTAACAGTCACATTTTCACCACCTCCTGTTTTAACTTCAAGCACTTAAGAATAAAAGCTTTTTTCCTATCCTTTCTACATCTTTATGTTCTTTTTTCTTTAATCACATTAGATGTTTTTTCCTTCATTTCTTCGTCTTTCTGAGACATTTCACCAGCTACTTCCTTCATTTCTTCATCCTTTGATTCTTCAGGTGTCACTACTGTCAATTCCTCATCTTCAATTTAGACTCTAGTTTTCTCTCTAAACTTTACATGTTGCTTCTAATCTTATATTGCTGCACTTCCATTTGTTGGAGTTGCTCTTGCAGCTTTCCCTGTCCAGCTTCTATTTCTTCTTGCAACGATTTCATTTTGCTCACTAATTTTTCTTGTCCCTCCTTGATCTCAGCCTTCATCTTTTCCTGTCTGGCTTTTACAGTTGCTGTTAAGTCAATCAAAGCCTTCATATCCTCCGTCATGGCTTTCTCCTGCATGTGGGTCATTGGCATTCACTAATAAACCCACTTCTGATGTCAGTTGTTGCATTTTATGGGTACATGGATTTAGAGTGATTGATAACAACACTTGATGAAGAATCAAAACACAATTTATTCATCAGTATTACACAGGACAGTTCCAAAGACATGTTACAGTTGTCAAAAAACTATGACAAACATGCTGAAGCACTTAGCAGCCACAGCCTTCGGACTATCAGGCTATAATGGTGAAAACAGCTTCACAGCAAAGCACTAAACTACAGATCTCAAATTAATCAATTGCTCTGAACTCATCATACTCCTACTCTGCATACAAGCAGGGTATATGTAGCTTTATCCACCTTCGAGAATATTCCTGAGGAAAACCACCAAGAATGCATTCCAGAATGTTCCCGCTTTGTCTGTGGAATATTGCCAAGTTTGTCTCCAAAGAGGAAATTTTGCACCAAATCTGGCAACCTTAACCCAGCTTTATGGTAAGCTATCTTACCACAGCTGGGCATTTTGTAACAATATAAATATGAATTTACTGATTTATAGTGTTTTAAAATGCCCAGCTTTGTTAAGATAGCTTCCTCGCAAAGCGGAGTTAGCTTTGCCAGAAAGTGGCAGGGTTGCCAGATTTGGCACGAAATCGCCATTGGGCGACATTTGGTGACAAGATTAGCGATATGCCATAGACGGAGCGAGAACATTCTAGAATGCATTCTTGACAGTTTTCCTCAAGAATGTTCTCAAAGCTATAAATACCTTGCCTCTATACAGAGTATGTTGAGTTCAAAGATTAGCTTGAGGAACGATCGATTAATTTGAGGGCTGTGCTTTGCCATGAAGCTGTCTTCATCATTATAGCCTGATATCGTGAAGGCTGTGTTGCTGATTGATTCAGCGTATTAATCATAGTTTTTTGACAACTGTAAATGTTTCTTCGGAACTGTCCTGTGTAATACTCTTCATCAAGTGTTATCATCAATTACTCCAACTTCACAAACCTGTAGCTGCTAATATTTTAAAGCCAATCAGAAAAAATATTTTTTTATCACTAGTAGCAAATTTTCTGACACATTTCAAAATTTCATGAAATCTGCAAAACAGTACTAGATGCAGAATATTCAGTATAAAGTCCAAAATCCAGGATGATCTAATATCTGAAGTTCTGAAACACTAGCGCATACCCATCCATATCTAAGAGTGGTCAAGCTGGAGTCTCTGTCTCAGGCAGCAAATTCAAGTGTGGTGCTGGATTGTATTTGGAATGTTGTCTAATTTTTTTGCAACATTAGTCATTTTAAGGCCAGGTTTGAAAACGTCTTTTAAGAAAATTTTTAATTAAATACTAAGGATCCTTTTAAGGGAACAAGGAGATAATGATATGCATGTAAATTCCAGTTTAAATTTTGTAGATGGAAAAATATAAGTTACTTTTTGGAGAAATGCAAATGCAACATCAATAAGTATTTTAAACAAGGGAGTTAAGTGCAAAATAAAAATGTGAGAAAAAAATTTTAGGAGTATAAAAATCTGAAAATAAATAAAGTAAAAAATGAAAAAACTTTTTAAAAAGGGGGGGAATTAAACTTCCGGAAATAAATATTACCTTTGTGTAAGTTAAAAAAGTGAAATGTTAAAAAAAAATTTTTTTTTTTTTTTTGTTTTTTTTTTTTTTTTTTTTTAAGTAAGAAGGAAAAAATTTGGAGAAGAAAATATAAAAATTTGTAAAATAAAAGTGAAAAGAAATGAAAAAAATTTACTTTTAATTTCTTTTTTAATAGAAACAATATACAGATATTAATGTGCATAAATTTTAAGTATAATTTGTGAAGAGTTTAAACGTGTGATGAAAAATTTAATAAGAATTTAAAAAAAAAAAAAGAAAGAAAGAAAGAAAACAATAAAAAAGAGAGTAATAGATTTTGTACAAAAATGTAAGCAAGACCTAAGCTCGTTTGAGTTCTGCAAGGAACTTGTCATTTTTGAAGTCCTGCTGCTGTTCAGCGACATGAAAGAGGCTACTGCTTTCTATCTCATGCAGCAGATCACCTATGATTTGCAGGATGCTTTTTACAATATTTGTATCGCATTGTGGATTTGCTCTACACGTATGCTTTACAACAGTAGTTCCCAAAGTGGTCCCTTGTATCATTCAGGAGGTCCGTGGGAAATTAAAATTGATTTGAGGGTCCCTGAACAATGTCAAGGGGTCTGTACAAGGTTTAATATAAAATAATAAAAGTATGATCCATTTTTATTATTATCATCAAAATTTAAAGAAATAACAATAAATAAAATAGTATCAACTTTTACATCCTGAGTAAAATATAAATATAGGTGAATGTTTAAAAAACAGTGTGTTATTTAAGTACTGAGCGTTATGTAATACCTTTTGAGAATGAACATTGACAAAAACTTATTTCCACTGATTTGTGCTGTGTAATAACAGTGGTGTGTATAACTTGTTATAATGTTATTACTAAAACTTAGTTATTGTTCAATTTATTTCAATAAATTTAATCGTTTGGTTTCTATTAACAAGGTAACAACAAAATAATAATAAAAAAAGGTAATCCCTCAAAAATGAAAATATAGAAAATCCACTGACACACTCCTATGATTTAATAGTTCTATATGTTGCCAGTTACATAAGTTAACAACAAGCATGGTACAGTGCGAGACAGATGGCCGAAAACAGGTTTATACAGGAACGCAATAATGCAGCTACATTCTACTAACTTGTCCACTATATAAATATAAACTATAAAAGAGTCGTACATCGTGCATCTAATCAACAATTTAGTTCTATGTGATGCTGATACGAAGTGTATAAACAAATTTTTCCAGTGTTAGACAAAAAGAAGTTTTTTATTGTTGGAAGTTTTGGCATAGTTGCATTTTTTTGTATCGTTATGCAGATGTGTACTTTTGTAACATAAGTATATTTGAATAAAATTGATCTCTGTTATAAAAAAGTATATATCACATTTTTCAATATAGTAATCCCTTAAAGGATTACTTAACTAACATTAAGGGATTAGTTATAGTACGAACAATATAGTAATCCTTTAACGTTAGTTAACGTTAAAACTTTTTCTGTATAAACAAGACTTGGGAAGAGGGGAATGTTCTGTAATAGGATGTTTTTGTTCTATATGAATGTTTTTGACTATACCCGACTAGGTGTTGAACCCTTTTGCGCGTGGACAAACTCAGATCCCAAACACAGATAGATGAATCCATACTAATACAGGAGCAGCTTATTGAAATATCCACTGATGAGAAAATGTTTGAACCAATGTTTAAGCAAGGGTACCATAAATTATGGTTACAAAAACAGATTCCAATTTCGTATTCTACATTATGGGTTATTGTACAGAAGCTGTTGACTGTTTTCCTGTCTGCCTGTTTGGTAGAACGTGAATTCAATGTCGTTATGAACCTCATCACAAAAAAAAAAAAAGACTAGAAATTAATGCTTGTGGGGATTTGTGGTTGCTACTTGAATATTGAGCCGAACAATAAATACACTCATAACATCAAATCAAATTCTTCCAAGTCATTAATATTTTTTTATTTTATTGTAAAGAAAAGTTATAATTTCAATAGATACTTCTGCAACAAAATGTTTTTATAAATTTGTAATTTTTATACTATGCATTTATGTAGCTTTTCACTTAGGTGTCCATGGGCAAGTTTTGACTATAAAAAGAGGTCCATGGGTCAAAAAAGTTTGGGAACAATTGCTCTACACTTACTGTATTCTTCGTACAGGCTTTTAAAGTTGAAATGTTGATCATGGAAGTCACTTTTTTTTTTTTTTTTTCCTCCAGGTTTTCTTAGATAACAAAACCAAAGAAGAAATTGCAGCATTAGTTTCTTCACGTACGAATGGTGCAACACCATTAGTTATGGCATGTCGAAATGGCCATTTAGATGTAGCTGTATATCTTTTGGAAAAGTGTAATGCAGATATTGAACAGGTAATATATTTTTTTACATATTCTGAGATTATTATTAGTAACAAATTTTAAAAATTTTAACTGATCTTGAAAAGTAAAAGGTAATTAAGCATTTTCTCTCTAACGAACTGATGCTGTTTGTGAAATGATGAGTTTTTTTCATGAGTAGCAGACTATATCAGGTTGATTAGAAAGTAATGCAGAATTGAGACAGGTAATTTCAAATGAAAAAAAAAAAAGTTTTAGGGTATAAATTTAATTATTGATACAGGTTCATTGTCTTTGGCTTCTGTTCATCTCACAGGCAACTTTTCAGTATCCTGTTTGAAGAATTCTGCTACAATATGTTAACTTATACCACTTTTGACCTCTTATGTATATTATTGAAATTTTTGCCACCAAAAAAATCTTGCAATGACTTAAACAGAAATAATCTGAGTGAACGATATCTGTACCCGTAAGCAGATAAGTAAGAATTCCTAAGCTGTCGTGCATTAAGTGATGTAGTATTATCCTCCTGAAAATTGCATTAGGTCTGTTGCTCAGTGCAGATTACTAGGTGGTAAAGCATTTCCAAGTAGTTTAACAGAAGACTACATTATGTTACATTAAAGATTTGGTTATTTTAACTGTTCAAATAAAACCATGTCTTCCACATGCAGGACAAAAACTTTCTTTGAATGCAGTCATTGTTTTCAGGGAAACTGTTTTCTGTGTTGGGTTCAGCCATTGTCTTTTTTTTTTTTTTTTTTTTTTTTTTTTAGTAACGTTAGCCAGAAGAATTGTTTTTTGCTTCTCCAATCACAGGCCTTAAGAAGACTCCATTTCATATCTTATAATTTGAAGAGTACAATTTTAAACTAATTTCAGATGTTTTCCAGCTGTTTTGGGTTGAGTTTCTAGCTTAAAAGTGCTTTCAAGCTGCCTTTTGCTGTTGACTAAATACCATTCAGCTTCTTCATTTTTTCTTTTCTAGTCATAAATTGGAATTGATTTGATTAACATCTTCAATTCATCATCTTCTGTCTTCTTTGGTTGCCCAATTCTATACTCACTTTTAAGATTAATTTTATACTTTGGAACTTTTTAAACTGCTCTTGACATTGACATTCATTCATAGCATCTAAGCATGCTGGAAGTATTTTCCGTTGGTTTCTTCAGCCTCTCAATTCAAGAACAGCTCATGAAATATAATATGGAGAATATATTGTATATTATTTGATTCCACTTACCTAGGAATGAACTGAAATGTTATTTCAGTCATATGGCTTTGAATAAAAGGATACTTTGTCATAATTATAGCGATCTTTAAAAATTTTGATTGCATTTAGTATACATAGCGTGATTATTATGTAAGTAAATTTTAACAAGCCAAAATCCTCATTACCTTTCAATTAACCTGATACATACGTTTGCAACTTTGTTCCCATGCTCTCCAATTAAAATTCATATAAATTTATTTGAGTGATAGAAATAATTTTTAGCGATTGGATGAAACCGCGTAACATCCATAATAATGTTATTAATTTATTAAAGGATACAATAAATCATTATCATTTTTTATATCCATTTCAACAGCTGATGTAAGTACTAGTTAAACGAACACTTTTTGTAATTGTTCGAAATAGGAAATTTTTGTCGGTGTTGTATAAATAGTAATTTTACTTCTACTGTTTATGAATTGGTATACAAAACCTAATTCATACAGTGGGAGTATATGGGAAATTGTCTGAAGGACATGCATATAGCTTCTCCTTTTAGTACTGATTTAATATAGTGTGATTATTTCAAAATCGTTAAAATGTGCTGTAAGTATAATGGTTGGCTGTAATATGATTATACTCAAGCTCTAATAAAAGTATTAAATTTACATTGATTCATTACCGTTGTCACTATCAAGTGATTTCAGTGGTTGAAAAATAGTAACTGTACTTTGGAATTATGAAATGACTTCTTTCAGTTGAATGATTGAAGAACATTACATGTTGGGTGATAGTTTTTATTCGTTAATTGGTATCACCATACATGAAGTGTTAAGTAATTGAAATGAAGCTGATTAAGTAAGTAACCCAATCATTAAAACTTGTATTTGTTCACTTTTATAGAATTTCTATGTTATTTTCCATTTTGATATCAGATCGAACTTCACTAATGAGGAAAAAATTTAATGTTTCAAAGCCACTGTATTATTTTTAGTTAAAATATGATCTTATCCATTGTAAAAAAGGATGGTAAGAAATATTACACCATGTTGTTACCAACTGATGATTTATAAGACCTTTATTTTATTTATATATTATGAAAATACAGGGTGTTTCATATTAAATGGGACAAAAAGAATAGCAATGTACAAATTTCGTAACTGATTAAGCCAAAAAATTAATCTGAAACTGTAATTATTTAAGTTTTATTTGGCAACAGCGAAAAATCTTCCAGGTGTGAAGTTGCCGCTAGAGGCACTGTTAATCAAAATGGCACCATCCATGCAGGAGAAAGCATTCTTTATTTTGGAATACATCAAAACATTGCCAATAGTCATTCAAAGACATTTTCACACAAATTTGGTAAAGAACCATCGCACCATTACAGCGTTGAATGGTGGGTGAGGCAGTTTCAGGACACAGGCTGCGTGTGAACGAAAACCAGTCCAGGAGGAACAGCAGCCAAAACGATTGAAAAAATTCTTGAAACTGTTTTACAAAGCCCTACAAAATCAAACCATCGTGTGATTTCTGAACTCAGTCAGCCTTATGTATGGTGTGTGTTACAAGAACGTGTACAGTTCTGCTCATACACCTTTCTGATAGTGCAGGCATTAAATGTATAATGACAAACCTTTGCATAAAGCTCTCTGTCTGTTTATCTGGAGGCAAAGGTACCTCAGCAATTTCTTTTAACCAAAAGTCTTACTACTCCTAATGGAACTATCCTGGAGCTGCCTTTCAACATGTCACAAATAATTCCCAAGTCTTCCATGTATCAATGGGATAGGATTGTTTGAAGTTTAGTCCATACATCAGCAATTTCGACTTCCAATGATATATTGTAGCGCTGAATTTCCATACAATGGCATCCCACTGACAACCCTCCAGGAACTTTGCCACACCGTATATAATCCATTACTTCTAAAGGTAGACACAAAAAGTGCTGAGATTAGCATATTCTGTTAGATGTACAAATTAGTCATTTCGGTTGTTCATACCTCTTATCATATTGTAGAGTCTATTAGGTTATTTTGATGCTGATGACGTGAAAAATATGCAGTGCCCTTGCTGGGACTCGAACCTGGACCTCTCGAATACGCTCCGAGTCTGCTAACCGTTATACCACGAAGGCATGCAGAAAAGGAGGTAGAAAATTATACTTCCCCTTTAAAAGGGTGACTGGGAATTAGGAGACCCAATTGCCAAATCCTGGTGGTGAAGAATCATCATCCATCTTTTAGTTTGGGCGCCACTAAGGACTCCTAGCACTCTCTATTGAAGTTAGCTAAACCTTCCTTAAACATTTCTTCTAACTTATTTGCATTCAACACGATTCTAAAAACTGTAGGGAGTTGTAAATGGAAACAAGAAATGATAGAAAAGTTTTTCAAAATTAAAATAATGGTTATAAAAATATGCCTTATAATTGATCCTACAAATATCTGATTTGAATTCATAATTATGTTCTTGTTGAAACTTCTCTGAGTGGTAATGTATAACCTGAATCATCTGATTTTCTTTGAAAATTTAAAACTTTTGTGCTGTGTTCTGTTACTCTGTAATTTGGTATTTTGACTTAAAATAAATTTACATAAATGAAGTATGAAAAATCTTTTAAATCATGAAAACTGCAATACAAGTTTCATCACAATGCGTCGGATCATAGGACCTACCTATGTAGGATCTGTAATGCTTATTAAATAAGGCCCTTTCGGGTACCAGTGGTTGATTCAAATAGTTCCTTAGAAAATCCTCCACAAAGGCATCATTTCGCTGAGATAGGTAATCCTTACATGCTCTGCCTTAGTCATTTAAGCAGCAGTCCTTTTTTTCTGTTGTCAGTGATGTAAAATTTTCAAAATAATACTACCAAATAATTTGGAATATTTAATGCTTTTGTGTTATGTAAACGAATATGCATAGATTGTTCGCTTACATAACATAGTTCAGTTTGCTTACATAGTTGATTGAAGTCAACATTAAGAACACAATTTAGCCAGTTGTCTGTTTTTCAAGACTAATTTTTCCTCTTAAAAAAATTTGTTATACATGTAGATTTTAGTAATTTTTTTAATTTCCTGCTAAAACAATACTTTTACAATTTGGTTCTAATCTTGTGTTCTGCAGAGAACTGTCCTGAAGATATATTCTAACTGTATTAAAACTAATTGTACCAAACTTCCATATCTACTAACAAATTAGGCAGTTTAATTCATTGCATTAAAAGTGAAATAATTTTTTTTAACAAATGCATTTCATGTCCCTTTTCCCCAAAATGGCCTTGTGTTTTCTGCTCAAGCATTTATGTTATAAATATAGGATTACTATAATTTTATATGAGAATGTAAATAATATAAATAGTTAAGGAAGTATCTGTTATATATCATATAAAAGTTGATTAATTCTCTTATGGATTTAAAATTTAAAGCTATTATTTTATAAATGTTGCTGATTTGAAAACATGTATTTAATTATTGTCGTGTATCCTTTAGTGGGTAATTATTTAACAAGATGCACTCTTTTAAACTACATGCTACTTTTATTATACATACAAAATATTTCATCACTCGCATACACACTTATATTTACAGCTACTTGCATTCCAGTCCTTTTTCTAATTACTGCGCTTACTTCGATGCTTGGCCCGGTGCCAGCTTAAAGTCCGATTATGATATTGCAACGAAATGTACAAGCTTTCCCGCAAAGCAGGTTTAGGGTTGTCAAAATGGCAAGGGAAGGCAGGGTTGCCACATTTGGCAATATACCATGAATGAATGCAGAACCTTCTGGAACGAATTCTTACCGGTTTAGCCTAGAATGTTCTCGAACACAACCCAAAAGCTATATAAACCCTGCTGGTCGCAGTCAGAGGGGAGTGTGCCTCGCATAGAGTGCAAGATAGTTAGTATCGAGTTGGTGTCACGTCTAGCGAGTCAATTCCTGCAGAGTCGATCGCATTGACAGCCGGGCAGCGAGTGTTGAGTGCACCGAAAGTGTCTCGCAGTGTATCGCGGTTAGTGCATCGTCGAGAGAGCGTGTTGAGCTTCAGGAATAACTGAACCGAAGAGTCGGGAGCTGTGCTCCTGTGTCATCGAGTACATTGCGAGTTGTAGCGTGGTGAGTCTCGAGAGTACATGGAGTTCCGAGAACGACCAAGCTGAATCAAGAGCTGTACTCTAGTGCTTTGCAGGAAGCTTTCTCCACTGTTGTTGCCTGACAGTGTGAAGGCTATGTTGCTGATTGTTAACAGCGTGTTTATAGTAGATCTTCGACAACTGTAAAAAGACTTTGGAGCTGTCCTGATTAATATTGGTAAATAAAGTGCAATACTTCTTACTCTTTTTATGTGTGTGTGTGTCTTTGCATTAGGACTCTTTTCTTAATTCTTTAAAACACACATAGTAATAATAAATAACAGTGAAAGTACTATTATTTCTTTGTAATATTTATAAAAATTGTATTATGTATTAAATGCTAAATGCTTTGCTTACCCAAAGAAATCAGAATTATGCTCTCTTTTTTTTAAAAAAATGTAAAACAAAGTTAATGTTTGTTCAGATTTAAATGTATGCTTACTTTTTTAATAGGTTGGTTCTGTGACATTTGACGGCGAAACAATTGAAGGTGCTCCACCGCTGTGGTGTGCAGCAGCTGCTGGACATTTAAATGTGGTCAAAACTCTTATAAAATTCAATGCATCAGTCAATAGCACTACAAAAACTAATTCCACTCCTTTACGAGCTGCTTGCTTTGATGGACATTTTGAGATTGCAAAATACCTTGTAGAACATGGTGCAGATATTGAAATTGCAAACAGGCATGGTCACACATGTCTTATGATTGCTTGTTATAAAGGTCATTATGAAATTTCAAAATATTTGCTGGAATGTGGAGCAGATGTAAACAGGAAAAGTGTGAAAGGTTTGTTGTTTGTTTTCATTTCTGTTTAAATTTACAAATCAAATTTATGTAGTACTTTAAATCCGCAAGTTTTTCAACATGGCTTCTTTATATATCTATATATATATATACTATACTTTGTGTGTGCATACAGTCATTCTAAAATACTAACATAATAATTTTTTTTAAAAAAAAAGGTGAAAAAAAGAAATATGAAAGTACTATATGCACAAAGCAGCAATATAAGAATTAATATATAATCTTGTAAACAATTTAAAAATAGAAGAATCTTCTGCTTAAACAGTTACTAAGACATATGAAAAGGAAATAGGCCTATTTAATAATTAAAAATGGTAGAAAGCCAAAAAAAAGTGCTTTTGAAAGAAAAAAAATTAACCCTAAGGAAAACAGAAATATTACAGTTTTAAAACAAGCCAGGATTTTTCATGCAACTGAATAAATTTGAATAAAAAAGGAACCGCTCTGAATTCAAATTATCATTGCTTTTAACTTTAAAAATATTTATGATTTAATGATTAATAGTCAAGTTAATAGAGAAATTAAGTCTTTTCAAGGACTATCCAAATTATTATATAAGTTACAGTAATCTATTTTCCGAAGGTGTATGAGCTAAATGACTTGTTTGATTATCCTGAACAGATAACCCAGGGCACATCCAGAAGTATCTAGAATTGAAAATTGCTAAGAATAGCAAAATAAGCAGAAAATTAAAGGTAAAAAGAGGAAACTAAAAATTAAAAGACAGTATTAAAATAAAACTAAATTATAAAAATATAAGAATTTTATTATCATAGACTTGAATCCACCTGATGATATTCCCCATCCCTAAAAAAGTACACCAGAATTCTTACACCAACAAAAAATACAACATTGACACAACAGATTAAGTAATTTGTTTCTGTTTGTATTTGTATATGTATGTAGCTGTATATGTGTACTGCTTTCCTTTAGAATTGCAACACCAGGAAGGAATGATCTGACAAATTTCAAAACCAAATGAAAGGAAGAAGTGGTTGGTATATGCAAATGATTAGAATTTCTGTGCATTTAGATAACGCAGGAAGGAGAAATGACATTTGAAGCACTGCATAAAAGAAAAGTTGTGTAGGGGATTTCTCATTCGGAAAGTGTTTTGTAAGGTCAATTTTTGCTGAGAATATCATGTTATGCCTTGCTTTGGTTTATTGAGATTTAGGCAAAGCACACTAGCGCTATCTGCCTAAAGGGAGGAATGCCTTTGTGGAGGACTTTCTAAGAGAAACTGGCTCATATACACATTACACATGGGGAAAACCACGAAAACACCCACGCAGCCAGTCCATTCATGAGATTCGAACCTCGGACCAAACCACCAGTGTTTAGCGACTTTACCACTCGGCCGCTGGTGGGCAATGTTACGCCTTGAATAATAAGAAATGCTTACCACTAAGTGTTGGAATTCGATAGATGCAGGATCGTTGCCTATTGAGAATGTGGATTATCATTCTATGATGTTGCACTGGTCGACATCCAACCACTGTGATGCGAATATAGAATTAATAGATAGTTAGGGGTAATACTGAACAGCATTCAGGGTCTTGATGCCCTCCCATGACTAATGCCCGAAAAGACAGACATATTGTCAGGTCAGCCCTGCAAAACCATACAACCATATTGCAGACAATTAGTCAGGAAAATGGGCATGTTTGCAGTACGCCGAGTATCAGCTCTTACAGTGCGTCAACATTTGTAGTATCATGGACTATCAGCATGGCAACCATTACTTCGGCATCCTTTGACAATGCAGCAGAGAGAGATGGCGACCGTGGTGCGCTGAACAACAAAGTTGGTTCTAGGAGTGACACAATGTCGTCTTTTCAGACAAGTTCTGGTTCTGCGTGCAGTCTTCTCATGGGTGTATACGTGCCTGGAGGCTTCCCCTCCTTGTACTTGATATCAGCCTAGGGGACCTGCACCTGATCTGGTCAGCCATTGGGTACACCACATGCATATCTCTAGTTCGGACCGACTCTAATTTGAATGCAGATCGGTACATTTCTGACATCTTACGTTCATTGGTTGTGCTCTATATTCGAGGCTTGCCAACGTCATTTTCCAACAAGATAATGCAAATCGTGATTTGCACATCGTGTTCTGACCTTCTTTGATGCACGGGGTATTTGATTGTTCTTCTGGCCTGCACGGCCTCCAGATCTGTCATCCACAGAAAACATCTGGTCGGGTTGCTGAGAGACTGGCCCACCACCCCTCTGCAGCTAATGCGGTTGATGAAGGGTGGCATAGACTTAAAGCAGCATGAAGGAGTTGCCAAAGTCTGCCTCGGCTGCCAGGGGTGGTAGATGTTTCTACTAATTTTGCATCCCTGTAAACCACCAAACTGCTTACAAATTTAATCATTTTGTCTTTATGCCATACTGTTTATGTACAGTAAATATTTTTTTTAATTTTTTATCCTTCATGGTGTTGGAATTTTAACACATTGACTGCCGTGGAGGTCACCGGTGACTGGCACTCAACTTGGCTACTGCGTGGGTGCCACAGGTGACCAGACCAATAGTAAAATACATAATTGGGGTAAATATTGATACTGATAAATATTTAAATAGTACCATTGTTACTATAATGGTTTGGAGAATAATAAATTGTAAAAATTTTAATTATAAATTGCAATAATGGTCTACAGTGCCTGACCCGCACCACAAAAAATGCATTAAGCACGATTATATGTAACTCACGTTATCTTCTGTAAATAATTTAACATAATATACATCGCATAATAAAAATGTCAAGTTGGCGTCATGGGCAAACCACGTAAAATGTGCGCAGCAGTCAACGTGTTAATGGCCAGCAGTGTGTATATATGTGTGTGGGCATAGACTCTAAAATATTGCAAAACTTTTCAGTACTCAGTATGCAAACATTTTCAGAACATTAAACATATTCATATAGTGCATATTTTTTTAATTAACATAATAATTAATTTTGAATCGTTAACCATATTTTTAATACATCTCTGAATATAAAAAAATTAAAGGTTTTGTCTGTTACTTGGATGCATATTTAATGAGAAAGTTTCATTTTATAACTTAAGCAGAAGTATCACAAAATTTACTAGTATGCTTTTGAAATGAATGTTTTAAGTCACGTGCAATCTTATGAAGAGAAAATCTGAGTCTGTCTTTATGGATTCTGATTTCTATAGGGAAATAAAAAGAAATTATTTTAATTTTAGATGGACAAGAAATACACATAGAATTCATCGTAAAGACTATGTACAGTACAAAGTCCATAATCCGGACTCGTCGGGACTTCAGCGACTCCGGATTAGGGTTTTTTTCCAGATTATAGATCATCAATTTAAATCTGATAAGATGGCATGCAGAAATTATACAATTAAAAATATGAAACCGTAATTTATGAAATAAAGAGCAGTTATGATCTAAAGGGTATCAAAAATTACAAAAAAAAAGCTTTAATACTTATTTGTTTACTTTATTAAACATTTCTTTCAACGTAAGTTGTGTAAGTTGCTTCGTTTTTTGTGCTAAACTCGCATGCGTAAAGCATACAAAAAAAAAGTTTGTGCCTTTGAGGTCCGGATTATAGATCATTCTGCATTGCTAGTAGCACAAATTCTGTGATTCAGAACTTAATGCTTTCTAACAGTTGTTAAGTTATGAATTGCACATCCCCCCCCCAATAACAGAGTTTATAATTTGCCTGAAAGTTTACTTTTTGTATAACAACTGCCTTAAGAGTTTTTCTACTTCAGTTGAAATACAATCTGCTTCTTTTTGATAACAGGAAAAAATTCTTTTATAGGATATATTTGAATGAGGTGGTATGATAAGGCAATACTTTGTATTAAATGTATCTATATCTTTTAATTTTGTAGTTTCTATGCATGCTATATCAGTAAGCAAATTTGCAACTTCTTTTATTATAAGCTTGAATCGTAGAAAATTCTCAATTTCTTCATGAAATAAATGGACGAAGTTGAACTTTAGTTCTCTTATTTCATGTCAGCAACTCGGCATGTTTTAAAAACAGATCATTTATCTAGTATATATGTGAACATAGTTACAGAATAGGCTTATACTGAATTAAAAATTAATTTTACTTGTTTCATTCAACTAGGCATTTAAAAAATGTTATCTTGTTTCTGCACCAGTCACTAAATTTTCATTTTTGTTTTGTTTATCACACTTTTAAAATGGAACAGCTGTCAGATCTGTATTGTCTTCAGAAATTGATGTTGTTTTCCAAATACAACAAAGAAATTAATTGAAAGTTCAATAAGTTTTCCCTTCAACTTATGTATATAAGGGGCTTGCTACAAATTAAAAGCCAAAGCCTTCACTAACCTGTATGTTAAAATACCGAACTGCCGAAATGGTTTTTGAGAGTCGAATTTCTTCCCCACCCCATCTAATAGCGCTCAAAGAAAAGTGAAGCTTTCAAATGGCATCTTTTCTACGTCTAACAAATAAGATAGAAATGACAAATAAATCCATTTAGGACAAGCTGTCTGCAATAAGCTGATACAATGCATTTGAGGAAACTGCACCTGCTACTGTATACCTTATTAGAGGGAAGAAAACAACATTGGAATTTCGGCTGTTTGGGGCGGTTGTGACCGTGTGGGTCACTCTAGTCTTCAAAGAGTTGATATTTACTGTTGCAAACAAAAGCAGAGTATCCTAAAAAATAAATTTAAAAAAACCTAGAATTTAGTGGTACAGTAGAGTTAGCACGAACTCGACTCCCGATATCTTGACATTCCTTGTAACTCAACAACATTTTAGGAACGTTTTTAAGATAGCTGTATGCCAGACAGAGCAAATATTACATACAGTACATATAATTATTATTTAAGTATATGTCTTTTCTGTTCCGTTTTGGCATTTGAGTGTTATTTTTCTATAATTTTTGCCGTTTTTACATTGTGTCATTAATTTTTGGAACCGCCTAACAGATTTCAAGATATGTTGTAATACTTA